CTGGTGTCTCTTTTAGAAATAGTTGTATTTGTTGTATTTTCAAAAGCATATATGTTTTTGGGAGGAGATTTCCGCTGAACTACTCATGCCGCCATCTTGGCTTGTCCTCCCAGTTTGCAATTTTTATGATTGTCCATGAACCTATTTTGCTATTGTGACTGCATATACTCTTTAGGGTAAATACCAGTGATATAAACAAGACAAATGTTTTGAGCCTACTACTAGTCTTAGGATAATTCTTTTTTTTTTTGCAATATTTTCTGTTTGGGTTTGGAAATTCCAACTTTTGGAGATTAGGCTTTAATAACAAAACATTGTCTTTTAAGAGGAAAATTCAGCAAAAACAGATAAATTATGAGGAATTATTTTTATTCCTGTTTTTAAAGTTGAGTTTCCCTGAAACTTGTTTGCTTTTATTGTATTTTTGGAAGCTGTTTGACAGACTGTGGTTTATCCTACTCTCCAGGGATAGGAAGAGACAAGTTACTTGCCCAGTGAGCAACTTTCTCAATCTTGAGAGTTTCAATTTACTGAACCAATCTGGTGTTTTCTGATCTATGCAGTTAGATATCCTTTCATATTAGATATATATTATATATTAGACATATATTAACCGAAATGCCATCATATTGAAGTATATTAGCTTAAAAAGATTATTTCTATATGCAATTGTAAATGTTCTGATTGCATCTAATATATTATTCAGCCTCACAGATACTCACTACAGAAAATCTAGTAGCTATAAATAGTATTTGAATGATAACTTACATCCCGTGAATCAACAGCTGCATACATGATATCCATCCAGCCTTTAAATGTGGCCTGTAAACAACATATATTTGAATTATGCACAAAAAGCTAATCCAAGAATATTGGCATTTTGCCATATGAAAACTTGATAGTGTTATAATAAATACTGTACAAATTTTGTACCATATTATGAAATTTTCTATAAAGAGACTGACATGAGTGAAGAAGTGAAATAGATTAAGATTTTATTAAGAGACTGGACCTCATTTTCTTTGTTTCTCTTGGAAGATACTCAACTTTTTTCTACACTAAATTTTAATGAGAGGCTTGACATATGAAACTCCCATTGGAGTCTTAAATCCCTTTCATGCCAAAAGATAAGCTCTATGATTCAAACCTATCATGTGTTTAAACCCAACTTAATCATTTTCATTAATTGATTATTGATTAGTTAATATACTCTTAATTAAGTAAAAATTATTAAACATTACGCATTTTGAAATACACTCTATAAGATTTGCATTTCCACAAATAGTAAACCATACTCCTTAGAAGTTTTTACAATAGGTTATCAGGCTAATAATTCATAAAATTTCATTCATCACTAAAATATGTATATACATTGCCATTTTAATATATAAAATTGCTGCTTTCGCAATGATTGCTAAAGAAAACTGTAAATGGTAATAGCACAATAGTGCTTGATCATATAATGAAAAAACAGGAATCAGAAATGTAAAATCACATCTAAACATACTAAAAGCTGTACTCTGGGGAAAACATATTGTAAATAACTGCAAAACATCTTCACAGTCAAGTGAAGCTAATAGTATAGGTGTTAAACAACTACTTTTGTACTCAGATATTAATGATTCAAAGAAAGAACATTGGTGAAATGGTTTTCTTGAAACATTTTCAAAACATTTTCAAAACTCAGACAGTAGTGACTTACCACTTGAAGCAATGCAAGATAGCCAGCACCAACATTATCAAAGTTTACTTTCACGTTTTTCCACCGAGCTTGCTTGCCAAGAGCCTGACAATCACTCAGATTGTTGACTTCACTAACTTCAAACATGTTACCCGTTGTCACGTTAACACAGTGGTAGAATTTGCCAGCAAACAAATTCACACCCATGATGCTAAAAATCAGCCAGAAGATGAGACAAACCAACAGCACGTTCATGATAGAGGGAATTGCTCCAATAAGAGCATTCACAACTACCTAAAAGAGGAAATGAGAAAAAAGCCAGCTTAACATATTGTGATAATGGAAACCATACTTCTCATTAATTTATTTAATGCTAAAGTACATGTGAAAAGATCTAAATAAAAATCTAGGTGGACAAGTTGTTTCTTCAGATGTTTTCCAGAACATATTTGTTAAGGGAAGCAAACAATGACATAACTAAAAAGCTAAAGGATTTAAGGAAAGCACAATATGCCAAAGTGTGAAAAGAAACAAAAACCTGATACAGTAAGATGGAGTCAGAAAATGTATGCTGGAGAAAAAAGGAAAAAAATGTATTAAATACCAACAGAATAATCATTATTCAGTAATGCATTTTAATTTTCAAGAGCATTAATGAATGATTGATAATTTGAGAACATGTTTAAACAAACCCTTTACAAATGACAAAATATTAATATTGCCTTACATCTGTATCCTCAGATCAAGTTAACTTTTTATGAAGACAGATTAGGAATTTACAAGGGCCTTTTTTTCTCTATTGTTAAATCCCAATTTAAAAAAAGTTCATTAAATTAGGAGACTAGATAGAATTTATCTCTGGACATAAAAGTATTGAATATATCCATATTATTATTTCAAATCTCTTAAATGCTCATTTTGGGGTACATGTTACTTCATCAACCCAAACTGACCTATTTCCTGAAGGAGAAACTGAGTCACCTTTCTTCTCATTGAATTCAGAAGAGATTAAGGTGTATTCTGAAATCCCCAGGGAGGTCAACAGAACTGTTCTATTAAACATTTATATTAAGTGAAACTATTATTTTATTTTAAAATACTATATTATTTTAGAAATCACACTGAAGACTTTTAAATAGACTTCAAAACCTGAAATCCAAAACTGTAGACATTTCATATGCTACTCAAATTTTGTTTCTTTTAGAAATCAAGTTATATATATTGTACTTGCCAGATTTGTTTGCTACTAAAATTTGTGTAAAATGATTTTCCCATGTTTCTCATCAAATAAATGAATGATAACATTTAACCATACTTTATAGCTGGAATGTTAGTCCTGTCATATGACTGAATTAAAAATATCAAATTTAGATTAGTTGACAGACTGGAACAAATGTATAAATTTTTTATTTTATTGCTATATTTCCTCAAAAATGAATTATTAATGTGAAACCATGCAACAGATGTGAGCTTAATGATAAAAAGTTAGTGTGAAAAAACTCAAAAATTCTTATGAATTTTATCTTGTGAATTTATCAAGTAGCAGTGAAATGAAATTATAATGTAAAACCAGGTATTTCTTTGATTATAATACTTTTGGAATATCTGGAGTATGGTTTCATTCTCCATTGTGAATGAATCTCAAAGTTAAGGCTGAAATGTTTTTATTGCTTCAAACAATCCATCTAATAACATAGAAGCCCTTTGGCCTAGAAGAAACTCAGTATCCACGTGCATATGGAAGCTGGATTAAACAAAACTGGCCTTTGTACTAAATAGTATTTTGAGGGGTGTGGAAAGTGGGTGTGTGTCTATATAAATGTGTACTTTATGTTTAGACACATAAAACATATGCTAAGGAAGAGAGCTAGAAAGGAAAATACAAGTGCTATGGAAAAAGTGAAGCTCATTCAGAATGCTCAGTTAAAGGAGAGATATATAAAACAAACCTGAGGGATTGCCTAAATGAATAATTAATTATCCTAACCCCTACCTTGGATTCTTAGGGTATATAGATTTTGTCAGACTATAATTTAGTATTGTTTTCTTGTACAACTATTATTATTATTATTACTCATATTAATTAGGAAGTAAAGTACATAAACACCATTTCATTACCAGTGATTTTTGAGGATGCAAACTTATTGAGAGGAAGTTCATCCCTCCTGGGATGAATGTCAGTAAGAAATAGTTTTTAAAAAATGTATAAGCAATCAAATGAAATAAATAGCACACAGAAATATCTTGGAACTGTCATCAGGAGACCTGAATTCTAGTCCTAGTTCTGCTACCAGCAGTTTCTGAGGGCCTGTTTAATAAACCTCAGTTTCAGGAGGCCAGCCTTGGTGATCTCTGATTCTGTCTCTGAAATTCTATAATTGTATGAAATAAATAAGAGTATGGTACCCCTCTAAATTTAAATAACTACCTATATTTAATTTGAATGAATCATCAGAGAGCTCTTACTGTTCTTACCCTCATGCCTTCAAACCGGGATAAGGCTCTTAGAGGCCTTAAGGCTCTTAGTGTCCGTAGGGATTTGATGGCACCAAGTTCAGAATAGCCAAGAGCATTGGCTACCAAGCTAACCAAAGAAACCTACAAAAGGAAAGAAACATTCATCAATCCACCAAGAAACAAACTGTCAACTAAATGCATAGGATGTGGTGCTTATTCTTTAGCACTAACCAAATACAATTTTGGACCTAGCTTGGCAACATTTATCTCCCACATAGTGGGGCCATATTGGCAGCTTTATCTCATACTATTGCTTTTCTTACCAGTGAAACTGGTGCTTGCCTACTTGTATAAACATCTGTAAACCCCTCCAGTTAGATATTTCACCCCATGGAGCCCTTATCAACCTGTGCATATTATCAATGATGATTCAGGATTTGGCTCAAAAGCCAGATCAGATCTTCCATAGACCTGTGTTTAATATTGATTGAAAACCATGTTTCTCTCCTAAATTTATGTACTATCATGGCTTTATGTTCTAGAGGCATTTACCATGTAGTAGAGTCCCTTGATTAGATATCTTCTCCTCTCTTCCAGGTCACATAAACTTCTCAGGGTTTGGGTTGAAGTATTCTTCTCTGAATGTGCTTAACATTTGGTTGTGTATGCTTTAGTCAGTGTGTTAGATAGATAATAATGGAATAATTTTACCTGGAAAAACATTTTATCAGACCGTATAGTTTCATAATCATAATAATGAAGAAATTTTTATTCTAACTACTGGACTTATGATTTAGAATATAGTACCTCCCATTAAGATAGTACATCTTTCTGATATTTATTCATAAATTAAATTTAACTTAAACACATGAAAGATTAAAGAAGACATGTCCCATTTGGGAGGTAAAGAGACTTCATTTGCTGTGATTTTCTCTCAATATAACATACATTGAACATTCACTATATGCTAGGTTCTGTTCTAAGTGTCTATGCATATAAACCTGAAGAAGTAGGTCACTATTGCTTTTTCACTGGTGAGGAAGTTAAGCCCCCCACTCAAAAAAGGATGCCTAAGTAATAAGAGATGGAATTGGAGCATAAACTCAAGTGATCTGACTTCAAAACTACATGTTAACCTCATGTATCCATTATCAAAAATTCATTCCTCATCTGAGCCACAAACAAAATGATTTGAGTAACCATCTTCTTAGCTCTTAGAAGGATTGTATGTAACTAGTGCTTTTCTTCCTGCATAGGAGATAAATTGGTAATTCATTACATCCACTCGGTGGCTTAAGAGCATTAATTTCTTGTGAAAAGGCCTGTTGAAAATGGGTCTAAACGAATCCTGACAACAATCTAGTGAGGTAGGATGAAACCAGTGAGCTGCCCAGGAACACATGGTGTGACGAATAACATCCAAAGCAGAACTGAGGCTTCAAAGGCACATGGAGCCACTGTCCCCTCATTGATTAATTTAGCATACGTCTCACAGAATTGAACAGAAAAATAAATGACTAGTGACAAGATAATTTATTGACCTATTCATTTCTGTCTAGTGTCCGCTGCTACAGAACACCGGAAATAAAGGAAAGGTTATTTGGGAATGTGCAGGCTTCTGTGTTCTGGGCTTCTTGCCTCAGGAGGCATTACAGCGCCTTTACGTTTTTGGATCTGCTTTCCAAAAGCTTCCTTCATCTTCCCAACCAAGTCCTTTATTTGAGACCTGGGCATTTAAAGGGAAGTGGCTACAAATTCCTCAAGACTCTGAAGTAAAGAAGCTCATGATTTAAAAGAAAAAGAAAGGTAATGGCCGGAACCAGAGAGTATTGAAAAGATAGGAAGTTGTGAGTTCAGAGGCTCAGAAACAACACTTACATATGACTTCCCCACGCTGCGGTGGCTCCATGTTGCTCGAGAGGCTGGGCCTTAGTGAACTGCTCTTTTTTTTTTTACTGGACTTCATGCCATTTTGTGTAAGGCAAAACCTCATGTATTGAGTTGACTAATGTGAAAAACTTACTTTGCTTTAAAGGTGTTTTTGAAAAAAATAATTTTAAAGGTTTGTAAGTATACTTAAAATTTGAAGATAATGTTTTCTATTGGTATTCTGCTTTATAATTTACAACTCCTTAATGCTATCTCAGAGTGATCAGATGACTGGACCAAGAGAATATAGAAAGAGGCAAGTACATAACTGGAATTTAAGTCTTCTGTTTTCAAGGCCAGTGTATTTTCTCTTAAGCAAATTTGTCCACAACCTTTCAGGACACATCCTGATTTCTTTTGTGCTAAATACAAGAGGCACTCTTGCTAATGTGTATAAAGTGTAACAGAAGCTGTTCTGACAAAAACAGAACTGTTAGTACAAATTTACATGAGTCTAGGTACCTCTCTACACAGCAAATATATTAAGCTGTCTGTGCTGGAGGTTAGAGGGGTTTAGAGGGGTTTAGAATATTCCTATGGCAACTGAGACAAAAGGAAAGGAATAATGTGGGAGAGAGTTGATGTTTCACCCTGGAAGTTCTGTGGGTAGTTAATGAAACAAGTGATATAAATTTATTTCCCTTAAAAATGGCTAAAGATAATTTTTAAGTTCAATATGAGCAGTTCAAAAATGAAAGCTTATGTGATGATCACCTCCATGTAGTCACATGATACATTTCACTACAAAAGCTTGCATACTTTTTGATGATGAAATCTAGAAGCATTCCCATTAAAATCAGAACTAAAAGAATATGCCCACTACCAAGATTATTATTTAGCACTTTCTGGAAAAGGAAATGCAAATTATAAAAATTAGAAAAGTGGGAGAAGTCGTTATTTGTATATATATTATTGCTGACCCAAAAAGACAAGAAAGTGAAAAATTTTTATAAGCAATAATACAGTTATTTTAGGCGCTAATATATTTTTCATATTAATTTTTTTAAAATGTGCAAGAATCCTTTGGAACTACATACACTTTATTAACATGTAAAAATTAAAGTATAAGAATGATCTAAAATATTATAGTTTTAAGAACAGTCAGATCCTACCAGATATTAAAACCAATGATAAATCTACAATAATTAAAGCTATTACCTTAGTAGACAAATAAATGAAACAAAATAAGGTTCAAATTAGACCCAAGACATACTGAGATTTAGCATGTAGATAAGGGTAATGTTTTAAATGAGGGTGACAAATAGCTTAAATGAGAAACCATTTTGAGGAAAATAATAATTGGATTCTAACCTCATACCTTATCCTGAACTAAGTTCCAGATTGGTAAAAATTAAAACATTAAATAAAAATGAAGAAATAAAATTCCAACTATAAAACCAGAAAAAAACATAAAACGTTTTAATAATCTTGAAGTTAGAGGGTCTTCATAAATGTGAAAAAAAAACAAGAAAAAAGTACTGATAAATTTGACTCAATCAATATGAAAAATTTCTACATGACAAAAAAAGTCAAGAAACAAAAATCCAAATAGGAAGAACAGTTGCACCACATGTGACAAAATATTAAATTTCCTTAATATAAAAAGAGCTCCTACAAATCAACAAAAAACATCATTAGCCAAATAGTAAAACATACAGAGTCTCTCTAAACTTTCATTTTAATCTGTCAAAAAAAAATGTATTTATATACACTCCCTAAAAATTCAACTAGGAGGAAAGCAAAGTAATACAAAGAGAATTTCAGAAGAGTCAAGGAGGAGAGTTTTAGCAAATTCTGGACTATAGAGAGTATAGGGAGATTACTTTCTCAGCAGAGCAGAGACAGCAGAAACCTATGTCTGTGGAGGCAACTTAAAACATTGTTCCAATGAATTCTTAAAAGGCTCTGGACCTGAAGCAACAAGTTCCTCTAAAACGGGTATGACAGATGGTGCTGAAAACAATTGATTGAGCATCTGTATCCAGAAAAGCTGGACACTCTTGAGTCCCCTCATCCGCCCACCAGCACGCAGGACAGCAGAGTGGAATACAGCTTCACAGCTTATAGAGTAAGATTTGTATCTGCTGCAGAGGTCAGAACATAGGAGCAGTAATCCACACTGTGCTTGGGTTTCCCTGTGAGGCCACAGAAGCCCCTTCAATACATAATGCAGTCGTGGGTTTTCCATAGTACCATAGGGTTGAATATGGACCGACTCAATATTTGCTAGATCAAGGGCGCCTGGAACTTCAGTTGCTAGGTGCACTCCTCCCTTTCTACCCCAGAACAGTCTTATTTCCTATTTGCTCTGCAGCTTCTAAAAAGGAGATGGAGCTCAGGTAGTGGTGAGGGCCAGACCCCAAACTGCGATGGGACGGGTGGCAGAGGGCTCTTGGTGAAGAAGGGAGGGTGGGGACACTGGACAAGGTGGGACTTGGTCAGTGGGAGGGGTAAGGTTTATGGCAGGGATAGAGTGAAGGACGGCCCATGTCTGGGGAAGTGAAGGGCAGTTCCTTTGCTGCATGTCAGTCAGCAATCAAAGTCCATTTTTATGTAAGGAAAGTTTGTAACTCAGGCCGCCTCTTGCCTTTGACATCACTTCTATGTTAAACGTTTATAGTTTATTTTTTTGTCCTTAACTTTGTACATAATTAGAAAATTGAAAATGTTCACAAGCTATGTAAGAGCAAACATTTCTGTCATTATGTCAGAGATCATTATAGTCTTGTTTGTGCAGCAGGAAGCTGGAGATAATCGAAGTACTCATCCCTGGGGAATGGGGACTGGGGACTGGGGAATCACTGTGGACTGCCGTGTGGCACTGAGAGGCTGTGTGTTCCACAGGAATTGCACTCAAATATTCCAGAATACCTTTTTTTTTTTTTTCTAGTGAAGACTTTGAATCAAGTGATTTCTAAGTTTACTTCCTTGTCTAGAATTCTATAGTTTGGTAATTTCAAGATGACTTAAAGTGAAATAACACTATGTATTATTCATGCTGAAAAGCCAAATCACAGTATTTTTATTAATGCATGCATCATCTTTAATCAGTGTATGACTGGAAAAACACATGATGTGTTGGTCTGATTGATAGTGAGCACGATAACTTCTCTTATGGGGTATTTAATTTAGACTCTATCTTTAGGTTTAATTATTTTTTTCTAGGAAGATAGGAATTGTTTTTGGTATTTTACATAATCAATATGTTATTT